GAGGGACGAGACGATGGAGCAATCACGCTGTATTGGCTCAAGCGTTGATCGCGCATGATTCACTGGTATCAGCGGAGGGGGACAAACACACAATACACATACAGAGGCGTACGCGCACTAGCACGATAAACGATCGATATGTATTTCAAGGGAATTGAGGCGTGACTGACCGAAGCCCATCCCACAACCGACCCCCGCACTTTAACGGGAGGTAGGGAAATCGGAGTTGCGTGGTAGTCATCCAGAACGCGCTGGGAGGCTTGTCAGCACCGGTGAGGTCAATGTGACAGCTTGAAATAATCCGGGGGCAGCTTGAAATAATTCGGGGACAGTTTGAAATGATTCCCGGACAACATGATATGATGCTGGGACAACTTGACATGATAAAGGTATAGAAAGATAAACAACCAATATGCATGTCATTGGAATGGGGGCGTGCGTCCCCGAGGCACGTCTCAAAATCGTGCCCCCGCGACTCAACTGGAGGTAGAGAAATCTGGCTTCATGGTGGTCATCCAGACTGCTGGGAGGCGTGTTAGCACCGATGCGGTCGACGGGACAGCTTGAAGTGATGCTCAGACAACCGAAATTGGTGGAATGCTGGTTTTTATTGCGTGGCATTAAAATCATGGTGTGATCTGCGGGCAGTCCAGATTTAAACTTTAAACCTGCATCAGTAAACCAGAGTTTACACCACAAAGCATTGTTTGTTGATTGGGGAGTAAAACAATATTGACGAGGACATGATATGAAATATTATACAGAGTAATATTGAATAGTTCCTGGGGAATGTAATGCCTTTGTCACCGTGAAAATTCTGTTTTTCGGTCTATTTTCGTTCCCATAAAGAATAATCTGATGAAATTTCGTGTTACGGCTTTTCATTTGGTCAACGTCTAGATTCTGAAAACTAATGATGATGATGTCGGTGGGAGCGGCGACAAGTCAGAAATCAAGTAGGGGTGCAATACCTTCGCCAGCACATTAAATGGACGTTAATATAGGCAAAGATGAGGCGTAAATCGGTCGAGCAGGCTCCACTACTATCAGCGGGACATGGTCCGACCTGATCGTCCTGGAGCCTGAGGCGGGGACCACATATACCGGCGGGTACGCCTACTTGTTAGGTAAACGGCCGAACTATGCCCTAGGATTTGAGGCATGTGTGAACTAGACAGGATGCACAACCGCCTACCCAAGAGCTTCAACAAGAAATTTGTACAAACTTCTGCCCATCCAGACATTGCCGTGAGGTTTGAACGGTCCGTTGGCTTAACAACACTGATTAGGTCAACGAATCAGCTTAACACGATTATCGGACAACTTGATTTGCAAAAAAGGGTATGGAGAGTGGCGTAAGAATAGAAATATTTCGTGCCCCAGAAATACGTGCGAAACAACCAGAGGCGGCTGATAGCCGGACTCAAATACACAAAAATACGTAAACGATGCTTCGGAACGTTTAAAACAAGATGAAATCGATCATTGCGTTTGGCACTTCACTGTTAACTAACAGTCTTGAAAACGTTAGCACTGCTCTGAACGGTTCTTCCCAAATTAGCATTGATTTTGCTCACTTCAACCGGAATTTCCCAATTTTATGAACACAGTTCACGATTTGTTGCTGATAAACCGAATCGAATTTATGCTTAGTTTCCATAACAGGCGACAAGTCTTTATATTACGCTCACCTGTTCTCCGATTAACATCACCGGCTTGCATTGTTTGGCAATAATATCCAACAAAAAGTCTGTCCTTGTATTGTCCACATTCGGGACCAGAATACCCGTATATTCCGGTGTGTGATCGGTGGGATAGACGTAGCTAGGCACCCGCGTTTCCCAATGTACCCATTCCCCGCGTTCATCTACCACATACTCGAAGATGGTGTCATCCGCGCCGCACGGGGGTAATGGCAAATGACCATTCTGTCTGAGACATTGTTGTAGCTTGAGTCGATCTTCCAACTCGNTATGAATGCGTTTCAATTCTTTCTCGTCACAACTCATCAGCAAACCCTCGAGAATATCAATCGCCTGTCGGATATAGTTGCATTGCAACGTCTGAAAGTGAGGGAATAGATGTGATGAAATATTCACCTTGTCAGCACTTCTTGGAACTGTCACAAGTGATCATATCGGTGAAATGACTGGGGGTAGCTTTAAGTCGAGCTGCTTACCTGGAATTCAAATATATATCACATCTTCTGACCGAAAACCAGTTGCTCCGAGGATGTGCATTAAGAATGTTTCACATAAAGGTGTTGTGCACAAGTATTCCTTAACAGTTTGCGTCATTTCTATCAGGATGAAATAACGATTTGCGGCCAGTAGTTATACATTTTCTTTAAATTGTTGAATCAGATATGAATGAAGATTAGATTCACAGTATCGTTCGAAACGGATAGACAATGAGCGTGAGCGAAAGGAGAACCGTACACAGGGCAAATTCCAAATGCAGATTACGGAAAAGTCAGTGAAACCCACATTGACGGAGGAATCACCTTTTTCTTCTGACATTTAAAAAAAAGTCGGTAGTTTTCTAACTGACCAAAGAACCAGTAGGGTAAGCACAGCTCAGTAAGATGAACTGTAATTTGGTTGATCGATAAATATGTGCAGGAATAAGATAATTGATCACATGAGTGCAAAGTGCATTTCAGACAGTTGCGTTTCTAAAAATGAAAGGTTTATCGATGTCACAGACTGCTGATAACTACTTTCAGGTATTGTGTTAACAGAACCTAGCATTCGATATGCCCATTGATGAACAGTAAGTGTTTCGGATTATGAAAAAGGCATTAGATGCTGCTCATCTTCTCTGCTTCAAAGGCAGATCTGTACTAAGAGGAAGCAAAACGAATGAACTGAACGACGCTCGAATTGATTAGCTCGAAATTGTTGATTGATTCAACAGTTGGTGCAGATTTATGAGGTCGAAATGCGGTCAACCGGGAAGCAACAGAACGTACCACCGGGTAAAATATTCAATTAGAGATATTTTGTATAAAAATGATCCTCACTGCATTTTATTGAATAAACCACAGGGATATCAGCTATTGATAAACTGAGATGGTCCATTGCCGAAGAGGTATGCAGAAGTGGGAAATATAGATTTTACAGGTGGGTTTCGAACACATCATTTCCGAATCCAAGTAATAATGCCGAAAGTGACGGTTAGTAATCTTGTTCGGTCAAATACTTATGACCACCTAGTTTTCTTATTACTAAACAATGAAATCAAATGTTGCAAATTAATTCCCCTTCACTAATTCCGTTCGAACGAGAAACAGTGAACGGAACACAACACTCAGATTCTCAAAGTACAAATTCAATCGAATCCCGTGCTCACCTCCATTTTCGGTTCTAGATTTTGGGACACAAAACGGTAAGCCTCATCAAAGAACCCGTTAAACGTTTCGTAGATCATTTCGTGCACTGTGGGTGATCGCGTTCGTAGCCAACCTGCCCCCGTACCAGCGAGGAAGAGCGGAAGAGGAAAAAGAGAATAGGTACCAATTACGATTTCAGCATTCATTCATGCATGAGTTTGTGTTGTTTCCCCGGTTTTTCTTTCAAAACATACATATTCAGTGCGGTTAGCTACCCCCGATGTCAAACAAGGCATTTGATACATGCCGGAAATTACCTTTCGTTATAAAATACGTCGTATACAGAATAAGGATACATGAACTGATAAACTAGGATATGGTGCCAACTGTCTTCACCATTTCTCGTTAAATATCAACAGTGCGGTGAACTGGATGGCCTCGAGGGGGATCGAACCCAAAAAGGAGCATGCAAAACGCAAGTTCATCAACCAATTGAACAACACCGGACAATTAATCACATTTTTCCATTTTGTCTTTACATTCACGATAGAACACAATCCCTGTACTGCAAGCTAAGCACAAAACCTCGTTCATGCTCGGTGAAAGTGGAGCTGTCGCGAACTAGACAAGTAAATCCAATGAATGTTTCAGTTGTATCCATTGTTCGACTTCTGCAAACCCTATCGACAGAATCCTCAAAAAAATCTTATGACTAGGATTAGAATCCCCTTGAAACTGGAGACCTATTGGACAAATCCTCAACTTCCGTTTCATCGCCATCATGCAACAGAATAAGAATACTGGTTTTTCTTCTATTAACCTGAGGGAAAAACATTAAAAGCATACAATTTATAAGCCGGAACGGATCAGCCTTTTAAAACGTGTTGAAATCTATTCTATTCTGACTATATGGTGCTGGAAGAGGCCAGAAATCGATTTTTGATGCTAAGGTGAATGTAATTCCAAAATGACCAAAATTACAAATTCAAGGTTATAGGTTACGTCCTTTTATGGCAACGATTTGTTTATTACGAACGCAATCAGTATACACGATGTTGGGGACAGCACAAATTTCCGAATGGACTCACCCTTCAAAATGGGTTCCCATGTCATAACTGAACTGGACATGAAAATCATACCGTTCCGGGAAACAGTGGCCGGCGAGGCATTGTCAATATTGTGCACCTCGAAGAGAATTTTCGCATTTGGAGCCATCGGGATTCGATCTCCATTGGCCAGTGTCAATGTTTTGTTGTCATCTAGCACAGAGTTCAAATTCTCAATCCAGATAGCATCCACCGGACCGTCCAGAATAAGCCATATATGCTCCCCTTTCTTCACTTTATGTGTTCGCCGCCATAGAGTTGAAAAGATCCCGTCGGTCCAATCATTTGTGGCCACATCCAAACGACCGAACATTTGGGGAGCAGTGATTGCTTTCGGATTCATACGCATCTCCCGATGTGGTTCGGCAATCTCGGTGAGCGTTTTCATCAGGGCATTGATGCATTTGGTCTTGCCCGCACCTGATGGACCGAGGGTCATCACACCGTGACGAACGCGCAAAGTCTCGTATAGCTGTATGCATTTGAGCACCCAAGGTGGATGGTAGACTAGACCCAATTGGTCAACCTGGATACACCGAATTCGGAAGTGAACAGGAAAAGATAGATTCACTGGAAAGCGATGGATTTGGATGGGGAGAATTTATGGAACAATTTGTGCTAGGCACGGCTCAAGAGATTTCTACTATAAGTAACCGTGCTTCACTCTCTGGCAGCTTCAAACGCTTTTTCCAACGCAAGCATTATTTTTAATCTATCCGAATGGACACTGTAGTGGTTAATTCATGCAACAACGCAATTTGTACAAGTGGCACTGCAAATTTAGTTGAGTGACTCAAGCCCGAGTCCGAAGTTTTCGATATATTAACGTGTGGTCACGTAGGACCATGTGAAGGTTTCTCTAAACGATATATGAGGTCTACCGAGGTTGATGTAAAACTTACCTGTAAAAAGCCTGGATTGATAGTACTGAGGGTCCGCGTCACCTCTATCTGGAATAACGAATATCACCTATCTATCAAATCCAACCAAGGATGATAGTTCGTTGGTTTGGTACACTTAAACTATATCGCAACTGCCCGTGAAACAATTTATTCTGATACGTGATATATCTCTAATTCGTATCGTTGTTTATCTGCTCCGGAGGACATCAAACAGTTAATAAATGTTTAGCACTGCTATTAGAGCGTAGATGTTCAACTTTCCTAAAGGCGTTCCTATGATCCTCAGCAAACTTCTGAGTCGCTATCGCATAGCCTTCTATGCATGAGAATGTGACAGAAAAATTTGGACGACACATTCTTTCTACGTGTGAACAAGTTAATTTAATAGATAAATTTATCCCGATCACTTCGAGAAGTTACTCTTCCAACATTTGTCTTCAACGATTGCACATACAAAAACGCTGGAGAATGTCGCAAGTCCCCCGGAATGCCACATGATGGATTTGTTTAGAACAACTAAATTCCAGGAAACAACGGGCTTATGTGGAGGGAAATCAACCGAAAAACACATTTACCTGTCTTTCCAGGGAAGCTTCCACATCCGGATAGCCCTTCTTCTCCAAATTGATCCCGGGAAACAGATCCAAAATGAGTGACATGAACAACGGCTCGTCCTCATCGACCAGCTTGCTCAAATTCATATCACGAAGACCACGCATCACAATCATGATTTCCGAGTCCTGTGGAGCGGCGCGTTTCGACGCACCCAATGTGCGCAGCACGGATAGAATGTTTCTCAGACCGAAATCGTAATGAACCTGTGAAGAGGAGGAATCAAAATGAAAAATCCACTTGACTTGACACACAAATACACCACTCAAGGAGAGGAGGATTGGTAACTATAGGGACGGTGGTGGGGTGGGGTGGGTGGTTAAAACAACGAACACGCATACGCGTATAGATCAATTACCTGTTTGGATAATTGTTCTTCGCAGAGTTTATATAGTGTGTAGAATTTCTTCGACAAGTCTACGTTGTTCAGGAACCCGCAAGCGGCCAATTTGACTCTCATAATGATTGCTCTGTCGGGGACCATCATGGCTACCGTGCGAAAATTGATTTTCAAATTTTCCGGTAACTCTTGTCGACCGGCATATCCAGGGTTCTTCATTGAATGATGGGGAAATAGGTGATGATTAGATTACAACAGGGAACGGTATATGACATTTATGATAGGTAACCGGCCTCTCAATAGAATATTTTATTACGTAGAGGTGGTAGTTTGTACGAAAATTTATTTTTGCACTAATGTCAAGATGGGGGAACACCAAGTTGTACGTTCATGGCTGCATATAGTGCGTTCTGTAACTCTTGAACGAGAGGTTGCGCCCTCACATCACGTACTCCCCAGTCTGGTGCAGCATTAAAAGTTGCCTTAGGCATCATCTGTCACGATCGCTTGGTTTCAGATGCCACACGTAAATACACATACACATTGACTAATCACCTGTACGAGAAGTGACAGTGACGGTGAAGCAACCGCTTGTTCATCTTTTGTTATTGGTCAATTAATGCATGTTAGTATTTTCACCAAGAAGAAATTGATTTATTAGTAAATGTATTTTGGTTGGTTGAGGAATACACAAAAACAGAAACCAAGGCCCTAGCTCAATGGTACTTTGTCTTATTGTGTGCTTCATTGCAATGTAAAAATGAATGTTGTGATTGGTCAGCTAGAGGTCACAATGAATAAGCGATTTCTGTGTTGAGGCCGTACCTCAGGATTTAGTTACACTTCATAATGCAACTTATTTTATCCTCGGTTTCTTTGTAAAATAACTGATCAATAACTTATTTATTATTCGAATATTGCATCGACACCGAAGTCGCTGGACCCAAATTCCACCACAGTTCCAATTACCCACTCATTCACTCATTCAGTCTTTCGACGACTGCTTCTTTTTTCCTGAGAACGGAGTCTACAATGGTCTATTTAAAAAAAAGATTAAACACTACTTTCTAAATTCTGAATTCTATGTCCTTCATTGTTACTTTGAACGGGAAAAAACAGTAGAAATAATCATATGAGTGATGTGTGTGTACAAGTTATTATTCTCTCCCATGCTGGTGATACGACAAGAAATAATCTATGCTGTTGGCGTTCCCTATGCACAATCACCTGACACTTCAGGGTAGTACACCATGAAGTACAGAACTCACCATCGTTAAAAATATCCCGAATTCCGGATCCATTTCAACCGTGTCCCCGTCGGTAAATATGAACTGCGGTTTACGTTCTTTCTTGCAACTGAGTACAATTGCGATCTGCTGAGCGGCCACCGAGAGGACGGGCAGTTCAATCCGATTGAACTCGTCGAAACAACCCCACGAGCCGGACTGAGCCAGGCCTTTGTAAATTCGACCCAGACCACGATAATCCATCTGATCGGAACAGTTAAACACAACCACATATTTGCCCAAACAACGACCCATATCTTTGGTGGTCTCGGTCTTCCCGGTTCCGGCTGGACCAGCTGGCGCACCGCCCAGGGACATACCCAAAGCTTGGGCAAGTGTGATATAACATCTGGTCAGTTGGGAGAAAATTGCATTGCCGAATCAAAATCAGGAAGTGCGATAGTGGTTTTACGTTATTTTATTTCGTTTTACGCTTTCTATACACCTCTTATCATAGATAATCAAGTTTTGATATGCTACCTACAGGTGAGCAGAAAATCAACGCTCTTCCACACCCAAAGCGAATGTGCTTGCTTGTGGCGTGTCACAAAATGTGGCTCAAGTTGGCCTGGTCGCTCGGATCAATGAGACGGCCAGAACCAGTGTATTCGGTCCGGTCGATCGGTCAGTCAATGACCTTGTTCAGCGGTTTCCACTGTACGAAGCATTTGTAGGTACTGATGGAATCATTCGTGTTACGCATTTGACCCGATCGATTAGCTAGCCAATCACAGACATGCAGATAAAGCAACGATGTTGCCCTTGCTTCAGTGACAGAATCAAGAGGATACTGTAGTGACTTGAGACGGACAGTGTAACAAGCTCGAAAGTTGTCACCATCTTTGTCTGGCTGTTCCGCATGTATGCTTTCGCATGGTTGCAGGCATTGGTTACTTGGAGCATTCGCTCGTGTATCCTTCTCCTTTGTAGCATAGATTCCGCCATGATCTTCGATAGCCTGAGACCGCTTCTTCAGCTAGGTCTTTTATCTTTGCCCAATTCACTGCCACCTCCGGTGAAGTAAATTTCACTTTTAACGGTGCGTCAATTCAGTGCTACACCTCTCGCTAAGCACTTTTCGCTTTCAGACACTCTCGAGCATAGTCAAGCTAAAACTGCGGTGCTTTCATGGAACAATATACTTTCCCTCGACTAACCGGCTGTTCTTCCTGATCCGTACCGGGTGATCAAGAAACATGGGAGAAATTAGACATCGGATCGCTGTCGCAAGTCGCGTATTTACATCCCCTATCTCTAAAGCACTGAGATTAAGTGTGGCTGTACACCCACGTCCGAAGCACGAGGTGTGAGTGGGCCGCGTGGGGCACAACACGTTCAACCCGACGACACCACAGCCACCACCACCATCTGACCTGAAATGCGCTTGCTGGCGCGGAACCGGTGCAGTGGATTAAGCTGTGTTATCGGTGCAAGCTTCCATGTCTTCTTGATTCTGTGTTCTATAATCAATGCAAGCTGTATTATGCAACGCACCGCACGCGAGCACATTTGTTTCGCGAGTACGTGAGTGAGGAAAAACGACAGATTGTCCGGACATTCAATGGTAGTTGACTGAATGTGGAAACAGTAACGTAGAGTACAGTTACCCATGCACGCTAACATATAAGGCTATGGTAATTGAAATATCTCCTGAATCAACCTGAAGTATCTATTGCTAATAGTATTATCGTTTGAAGTGAGGGGAACATAAGTTCCCTTCCCCGCTCACCCCCCTTGAAAATAGACCATTTGGATCACTTTCTTGATTAACTTACCGATCTGTCAGTGGAGTGATTACCAAACGATCAGTGCAACCGAGAAATTCATTTTGGTAAATAAAGTCCACATCTGTGATACTGACCACGCATTGGTCATTCTCCTCAATGAAATAGAAACGAGATTGTTTCAACCATTCAAAATCCTTCGGAGATTTGATTTTCATATTGACCTGTGTGAACGGGAGGGAGTGAGATTGGAAAAGAAATGAATTGTGAAGAGCACCAACATTCATTTGTGATTTGTGCATGCTTCTGTGGGCATAAAACTAATGGATACTCGGTGACTAGTTTCGATTAAAATTTACTTTTCACCCGCAGATCGATTAATGGAGGGACCCAGTGTCCGTCTCGACTTGTTATTTCACGTCTTTGCCACAGCTGGTTTCGAACCTGCGGACATTTAAGCGATACTAGTCAGCAATGTTGATCACTCGATACGGATCATCAGTCCCCTGGTTTCGAGGTTGAGTGTTTACTCCTCAACCCTCCCCCCGCCCGCCGCCGTCCACACACACACACAAACACACACACACACACAAACACACACACACACACACAAACACACACACACACACACAAACACACACACACACTCTATTTGTGCACAAACACGAACTTCCAATGATAACCTTGGTCAACTTCCTAAACATTGATGGTACATTTTTCTCAGATCAAACGTAAGAAATAAAAGGTCTATTAATATTTTCAATATTTGTTGAACCGTTCACCGGAGTTAATTTGAATATTAAATTTTTTCTTCACTTTGTCGTGTGCATTCATTGCGACATAATGTCTCGCTGTTAATCCATGTCACATGACACGAACCATGGTATGATTCATGTCATACGTCATACGCACTGACGACTATCACACGGTTGAGTGGTCAGCTATAATCAGCTTTCCCAGTGACCTTCTTGTGTACCACAGTTTTCCCCATAGGAATTTATCTTCCGTTCATGGTTTTTAGTTTCCATTCATGGGTTTCAGTCTTGGTACCGATTCGTTCAGTGATTAGCGTACAGTTATGTCCCAAAAGAGAGTGTATCATTGTATTCAATCTGAAAGGATGTTTCTAATATGGTCGACGATCGATCGACAGTGGGAAGCAATTCAAACAAAGGTCGCAGCAAACACGATGCTGAGTAAGCCTCAAGTGAAAACCGATTGAAAACCTCTATTTGTATGTGTGCATGTTCGCAAGTGTATATGAAAGGAATAGGAGTGTAATCTGGCGAGACAAATATCGATGGCATGTTTAGCGAGTTCGGGTATTCTCACGGCGTAGCAGTGGGCGGTCTTAATATCATTTCTTGGGAATATACTCAGACAGAGGTTTGTGTTTTGTGTTGTCTGACAGCACGCATCGCTCGAGAACTTTATCACGCTCTGAGCAACCGGACACTACACAGTGAACTCTAGTTTAAAAAAGGATCCAAGGTGAAGGAGCCGAATTTCCACCAAATCCGTCATTCTGAGAAGCATTTGTTTCCATAGGCATGTTCCTGAATCATGGATTAAATTGGTTTCATCTCAACGATTATCATCCTGAATTTACTAGAAGCTTCATCAAATGGGTTAAAGATGCCAAATTGAATGCCCGAGTGTAGTGCGGATCTCAATAACTGGGCTATGTACGGAATCATTACAATTAACGCTCAATGTGTTGGAACATTTGGTTTCGAGGAAATCGTTGAAATGGAGCTGCCAGTTGAAAGTTCAAACAACTCAAAAACGAAGCAACCTCTGTCTGAGTATATTCCCAAGAAATGATATTAAGACCGCCCACTGCTACGCCGTGAGAATACCCGAACTCGCTAAACATGCCATCGATATTTGTCTCGCCAGATTACACTCCTATTCCTTTCATATACACTTGCGAACATGCACACATACAAATAGAGGTTTTCAATCGGTTTTCACTTGAGGCTTACTCAGCATCGTGTTTGCTGCGACCTTTGTTTGAATTGCTTCCCACTGTCGATCGATCGTCGACCATATTAGAAACATCCTTTCAGATTGAATACAATGATACACTCTCTTTTGGGACATAACTGTACGCTAATCACTGAACGAATCGGTACCAAGACTGAAACCCATGAACAAAAAATAAAGTACCACAAGAAACACTGTAATTGTGTTTTTCATTCTGATTGTTGTTTCGTAGCTGAACACCACGTGTGGTTGACTCGTCTTTATCACGACCGATATCCCCTTTTGGTCGATTTCACGCCTCTCCGGTCCTTAGCTGTGCCGGATGAACAGACTGTTTTGGGATTGCCGCTCGTATCCGCACGCGAGAGACAAGAAAATTTTTAAGTCCACTTTGTGTAGATCAAGGTAATGACCAACTACCGAGTAGCTCTGGAAATTGGAGTCTCAGCATGGTTACACGTGGGGGTGTACACCGCTGATGAGTGCAAATAAGGATGAAACAATTGTTCAGTGCCCCTAGCCAGTCATTGCATTACTACCACCACATCGCATTTCTTTTGTTGGTTTATGTTAGTCATATTTATTGATTTGTAGTACCGAAACTATACCTTTTGAACTTCGAGTGAAAACATTGAAACTTCAAGTGAATTCGACCAATCGCATACCACTAGTAACCTCAGAGGAGGATTGGTGTTTCCACCGTTAAATGTCTCCGATTGGATTGGGTCTGTCTAAATCCTGTTCAGTCCGAATGAACTAATTTCTCCGTAAATAACACACTTTGTTAAAAAAGCTTTTATAATTTAATTTAATATAATTTTTTCGGGTGATGAACAGTAGATGGGGTAAACCCCATAGTCACGCGGACCGGTAACCTAAACCACGGAACTTGAAGTGGTGAAACACATAAGGCCCCACTAAGTAAGGCGTGGTAAGGAAACGGACGACAACAGAGCTGCCTACCACCAAAGTTGAGTGGCGGTGGCGGGGTTCGAACCTCGGATCATAGGGTCCAAAGCACGCCTGTGACAGCGATCAAACCACCACGCCACCACCACCCGCGGTGCTCAACTGCAAGTCTTGTGAACCGTGGGTTTCACAGTGCTATCCGCACTGAATTCATATGGCATAAACTTTGAATTTCCCTAAATTTAAAGAACTCCTTGATTGTGACAATAATGGGCGTCTGTGTGGCTTACCAAATCGTTGAAAATATCTCGCTGATGCACATGAATGGTGATCAGAGTTTCAAATTTGACACGATCAATTTTCGACAATTCTTGTGTGGTCACTCCGATCAGTTCGTTTAGGATTTCCAAAAAGAAACTGTTTGTTTTCGCCATAATTCGTCGATCCGATTTGGCCTGTCTCAGCGCTTCCTGTGCATCACGCGTCCACAACAGCTGAATGCCTAGCAGACCCACTTGTGCCGGATAACTGTTCTCGAAATCCAGCAGATTGAACTGCGAGTCGTTAATTGCGAAATAGGCCGATCGAATCACAGAGTGGAGTGAATGTCGGGAACCGCGGAGCAGGTCACCAAGCCACACTTCCACATTACCCTGGTCACATGGGATTCGAACAGATGTCGTGTGGGAGAATAATAATAGTATTGTGGACAAGCAGATGCACATTCTCGTTAATAATCATGATTATTTGAAATAGTTCAAATATGAACCCACGACAGGTCATATGATTCGAGGATTAGGGATGAGTCTGATCATTGGAAGTTCTGGAAACGCGAAATAAATGCCAGTGAGTCAATCGGATTTCCATTTTACAACCCTGAATCGTGAATTTCCACGCTCCATTTTCGGTAGTTATCTTTTGGGCAATAGGTGAATATGATGAAATGTTGTCGAGAAAATGTGTGGGAGAGAAAAAACAGGCTTATAACAAGCGTGAGTAGATGTGTACGTATGTCTCACAACCACTGATAGGAACAGTTAAAACTCGAGTATTTTTTATTACACACCGAAGTGTGATGAACATTAAACGAGGCGCACCGCATGGTCACCAAGACCTGCTGTTCAGTAACGGAAACCAGTAAACTAAGCCCCGGAACTTGGAGTGGCGAACCACATAAGGCTCCGCTAGGCTGGGTGTGGTACAGAACAGGACGACAGCAGGGCTGCCTACCACCAAAGTTGAGTGTCGGTGGCTCGGTTCAAACCTCGGACCGTAGGGTTCGAAGCCCGTCCGTGACAGTGACTAAACCATTGCACCACTACCTAAGACTAGCATAAACCAATACACTTCAGTCATAACTCTTATATCTGCTTGTGGGGTTGGGATCTAACTAGTTTCAGCCTACATTTTTGCATAAAACCATCTGCTGAGAGGAAACTCATCTGCCTCATGATAAAAAGGAGTAAACCGGTGGGAGCACCACATCGGCGGAGTCGGCTTTCAAAGTGCCATTGTGCTATACTGTTCGTGTTCAGCCTCACACTTTCTGCAACCCCACTCACTCATCTTCGCATCTATTCATTCACAGTTGATTCGCAACTCCGTTTTCATAAGTTTGAAACCTAAAACTCTCCTTTGGATTGCATAATATCACTACAGGGGTCCGATACGCGCCGAATAAGTTCACCTCGTAATTTCTGTATACCCAGCAGGTGATCTCTTCGTATAAGAGGTCGATCGAGCTGTTCTGACCTGTTGTATAATTGAGTTATCCATTCGTGGCCATTCTTTGTGGAGTGGCAAAGATTCAGCAGGTATTCCATTTTGCCCGTTCGCCGAACTTGGCAATTTGTTTGCAAACGTTTGATCACCAGCCGAGGTGAAGTGGCCACTTCATGAGCACTGATGATATCACCTCGACTAGTGGTAAAAAGTTTGCAAACAAATTGCTGACCTCGGGGTAAACTAGGTCTCTCTGGGCAGTTTGGTACTTGAAGGCTAGAGTAACGTGTCGGCAGTTTTTAAAAATTTCAATCCCATTATGGAATGTAGGAGAGTTGACATCATGGAGCCGTGAATCAGGAAATAAACATCGAAAAGTTTGCCTCAGTTTCGATCCAAACAACAAATTAGTGTAGTAAAGCTACGAGTAATGTTTAATTATTGCCTAGCAGAATGCATGATTCAGTGATTGAATATGACTGAAGCACAAAAAAGGCCGTGCACAGACATTTTAACTTAGCAATATTTCAATGAGCAAATAGGTTGTTAGCAGTTCGAAAGGGTACGCTCCAAAAAATCTCGGTGTTCATATGATCAAAATGTCATTAATATGTCTTGCTTGTTTCTCTCTCACTGGATGAATTTTACGAACAAAAGTTTAGGATCAGTGGATATTAGATAAACAGCTTTCGCTTTATTACTTTGTCACGATCTGAACGTAAACATACACACATCTCGGATTTAGTGTCATTCACAGATTTATATCAAACCAAATCTTCTGTTGAATCCATGCGCATCTCCAATCCAGATGAACTTGTTCTCGCTCACCTGAGTCATCACAGGCGTTTCTAATGTGATCGTTTCTCCTTCCTGTGAATTGATCGCGAGAATTTTGTCATAGACTTTCGCATCAAAAGTCACCGTTTTGGTGTTATCGAACACGTTCAGCAGATGTGCTTGAATCGTATGCGAATCAGATGCCTGTCCAAGAATTTCCAACAAGGCCGGATCGGAAACAAAGAAGAACCGAGGAAAGACCAGACGTTTCTTTTCCAAATAGCCAGTAAGCGATTTCTGGCACAGTTCTAACTGCTCCAGCAAATGTGGTAACATTTGACTCATAGTGTCATCCCCGGTACAACACACAACCACATTGGGAATTTCGTGTGCACGTTGCATAATCCGTTGCCAACTCTTGTCAATATTGGAGAATCGTTTGGCTTCCTGAATTTTGAATCCGGAAGGGTGAGGGCACAAAAAAAACAGAATTATATTGGGCGGAATAAAAAGCAAGCTCGCTATATCCATTGCATTTGACTTCTTACACAGCACACATTTGATGGTTTGGAATCTTTCCTATGGGTGCCACATTGAGCACAGCCTATTCTTCACCACGGTATATTTATGCGTCAATTTAGATCTGAGCATCTAATCAACCGTGAATTGTTTCCCGAAGTGGGTACTCATCAGGATACTTGAACTGTTTGTAGATGTTTTCAAGTCGTGAACAAAGACAACATTCGCAAATAAAATTGATATACCGAATAATCCTTTGCTCAGGAGATTCCAAATAGTAGACGAGAACCACAACAGAAGAGATAGTCCCGGTAGGGTGGGGTTCGATCAATCGGAATTATCTATTGGGAACTATGCATCACAGGGGGAACGATATACTCCAAAAAGCACTTAAGTGCTCCCCCCTACTCGAAGCTTATTCCCGAATAACGGTCATGCCCTCCGTGCAAGATTTTGCCCAAGTCTGAAATTATTTTACCGATGAAATCTTCCCGTTCCAAAATTTGGTCACATGGCCATTGGGTCATCTACTCAGTCTTGTACTAGAAATGTCAACCAATGCTTGTGTGAATATTGTGTTGGCCACCCAGGCGTTTCATGAAAAGATAATCTCATGTATGCGCTGGGTGCTGTTGTGTCGACCCAACTGTTTTCGAAAGTCATGCAGCGATGGTCATTCTGAATGTCAGATCCGTGAGTGCCTAGTGAGACAGGTGAATAGACTGCTAGGTCCACTCAGGTAATCAATCCGACTTTCATTCCACAACAGTTGAACCTGTAGGCGCTCACTAACCGTGATGGAAAAGACATATGTGAGCCTTGGTGATAAAGTAGAGGTAAACTATTTACTCAGGGATGCAGTTTGGTGGGGAGAATTGCATGAAGAATACAAGTCCGCATGGTTGTGAGAAACCAGTGTTCGATTAGCCTCAGCTGTTGCAAAACCTTCCGTATTCCTGAAGGTCACATCTCCTTATTGGTGTACCTGGTCAGACAACATAGTCTAATCAATAACTACGCTTTCAGGTTTATTCACATTGGACTCACACGAAAGCTT